CTACGATGGCCCAGATCCGTGGGATCCGGGATGCTTGGGGGATCTGGGTGTTTCCGGTTCAGGATTGAAGGCTTAGGGTCCAGAAGCTCAGGGTCTAGGGTTTTGGGTTTAAGATTGAAGGGTTAGGTTCCACCTTTCAGGGCTTAGGGCCACGGGGGGTAGATCATGTTGCTGGCAAGCCTTCGGGTTGCTGGCGCCTCTGAGCGGAGTGTGTTCAGCAGTGCAAATACCATTCTATGGCGCTCGATGCACTTTGATGTCATGCTGTGCATGTCCTCAGTCACAAGAAGGAGCAAGGAACTTAGGCTTGGGGCTTTGGTGTAGGGTTTAGGGAAGTGTTTTCCTGCCGTATCAGTCGGACTCTCCAAAACCTGAAGCCTCGTCCCATAATCTTAGGAAGCATGGGTGTGTGAACATGATCCAGAAATGTCCGCCTCTCGTAAATGAATGCTTGGGAACCCTACAGTCGCCATTATATCAGGTAGGTGGTGCGAAGTATGGCATCCCTGTCTGCTGAATATGAAGGGCCATAGAATCAAGGGACAATAATTTTGACAACTTGCCATATGAACTCCTTGATTGCACCAAAGCCAAGCTTCCAGCATGTGAAGCTGCTTTCTGGAGTAGCCTTTCGTTCTGTCACAGCAGAAATGCCGAGCTCACGCTAAGACCCTAAACCCTAAACCCTTAACACCTAGGGCCTTGGCAAGGTTTCCCCAGATTACAGGAACTCTTGAAGAGAAGGCTCCTCATGAGCGTTCTCTTAGAAATGGTGGAGTTTAGGATCGGGGGCTTAGGCTTTCGGGCCCCCAAAAAGAGGCCTGCATCTGCATGAACTGCGCCTCTGGTGGCCGCGATCAGATTTCCTGAAGAAGGGCCCCTGAAAATTTGCGTGAGAACCAAGTCACCATGTGTTGAAAGCCTATTTCCGCCATGTAGTGTTTCTCTGCGGAAGCTGATGGCACAGCCGAAATCTGAAACTGCCAGGAACAGAAGCCTAGGCCTAGCTTCCAGATTCCAACAGAAAGGATTTTGCAAGGGAATGGGTTGCAGATCAGGAGAACCGAAATCGGGAGATAGAGCGAACGAATCCTGAGGCAGGCATATTCTTGGGCAGTCCCAGAGTTCTCTTCCTAAACCGTAAACCTAAAGCTGGGCGTCTGGCCTAAAAGAAACATGAAGATCCGGTTTTGCCCTTGTTGCAGAACATGGAAAGATCTTTACCAGATCTTGGTGAGCTTTGCTTCCCGGACCACAGAGCTAGCTGACTGCTTGTGCCCCAGCCAGGAACCGTGAACACATGGGCTTTCATATCCTGATCTGCCCTCTTAGACACTCTAAGCCCCAGAGCCCTAACCACTAAACTCCAAAGCCGACCCGTTATTCAAGCAAGGTGTCTTGTAGCTCTATACCGTGCCCATACAGTGGCTTAGGAATTCTCTCCCGAAATCCTCCTTGCGCTGTGGCAGCGGCTACACAGGATCACTGGTTGTTGCAGTGTTTGCCTCGAGATCTGCATTGCTGGAGATTCCTTAAAGGCCGGCGGTGGCCCGAGCATTGTGAGGGTTTAGGGTTGAGGATTCAGGGATTAGGTTGAAGATGGTCTTGTGCAGAATGCAAGCTTGAAGGCTCACGGGCATCTGAAGCCTAACTAAACCCTAAACCATGGAACTGCCAAGCCTGACAACCTGTTGTGGAGGTCATCATGGCCCCACGACCCGCGAACCATCAAGCAGCAGTTGAGAGAGCAGGCAGGCAGGCTGAACGCTTCCACGGCCCAGATAAATCTTAAGCCCTACACCCTAGCCCCATTGTGTGGGGTTCAAAGGTGTAGGCTTCAAGGAGGTGCTACCTGCCCCTGAACCCCAAGGCCTAAACCAGTGAAAAGGCTGTGTTCGCCGCAGGACTCACCAGATCAGCCATTAACAGGGCTCAAGTTCCAGGAATATCCTGAGAAATCAAGTTTTACGGTTTTACGTGCTTTTCTTGCGGGTTTCTCACAAAAAAGGTCCTTTTCTGTGGGGTCGCTGTCATAGGGACCCCGAGCTCTGTCGGGTGCATCAGGGGAGCCTCATGTTCAGCAAGCATGGGGTCCCTGTACTGGGATGAGGGATCCAGAATGTCCTCTCCTGCCGCGCTGAAAAGATCCGGACTACTGCAGAGCATTGGAATTCTTGCTTGTTTCAACCAGAACCCCCAAGTGAGGTTTGGGGTTTTTGGGTTTATTGGTCTTAACTCTGCCTGTGGGGCCACTTCGATGAGGTGCCTGATTCATGCAGCCTGAAGAGCACTGGGCTTCTAAGTATGGAATACAAGAATATATTCCGTAAATGAACCCTTTATACTATATTCCCTCATATAGGGGTTCTATCGGGATTATATTCTTTCTTCCGCGATGTCAAGGGACCTTGATTTCTTCTGCAGCTGGAGTGGCAGGTGCTTCCATTTGTCACGGTACACATTAGGCCAGTAGGCGTGCCTTTGAGACTTCGCACCTCGCCTGATGCTTGCGATGCGAGCCTGCTGCATCAAATGTTGCGATGCAAATTTCCGAACCTACTTCAAGCAGTCGTGCTTCAACATGTTTGCTTTGGCTTGCGCCACCAGGAATGGGCCTTGAGCCCCAAACCTGATCTCCTAGACCCAAAGCCATAAGCTCAAATTCCTCCTCCTCAAGCCCTAAATGCCTCAACCTGCTTCTTAACTGCTTGAGATGGCTGCACCACGTGAAGCCTCCGGGCCTTTGGGACCTTGCTTTCATCCAAAGGAGGGTGCAGGATCGTGGGAAAACGAAGGCGTGCGCCGCTATGAGTATATGGGATCAGGGCATAGGCATAGAATTCGTAGCCGACGCAATATCTCTTTTGACAGTTCTAAGTCATGCAAGATATCCGTATACAGTCCCTTTAAAGGGCCCTGCAGGTTTATTGTGAGTTCGAGGATTCAGGAGTTCATGGTTCCATTTTAAACCCTAAAGGTTCTATGGTCCAAGGACCCAAATGATAGGCTTTTAGGGCCCAAGTATCATTAGTATATAGCAGAAACTCTATTCTTGGGGTCTTTGGAGCCTTAGGGAAAATGTTCATCAGAGGATGTCGACGAATGTTGGGAGAGCTGAAGCTGGGTTTTAGGCGATCGCATGCTAATAATGATAGCCTCTCTTTGGGATTGTAAAGTAAGGTCCCTTTGTAGGGGTCCATAGAATAAGGATTGTAGCATATTGGGGTCTATATCGGGGTTCTCCTATTTAGGGAAGCTACCATATATACATATGTATATATATATATTTATACGTACAATCATGAAACCCTAAACCCTAAATCCTAAATCTCATAACAGCCCATATACTTCTTGCATCTGCCACGAGATTGCCATTAGCGAGAGGCTCGGATTTCTGCTTCCCAATGCACCTGCCGGTCTAGATTTTGGGATTGTAGTATATTATATTATAGTATATCATGGTATATTATGGTTTATTATAGTATATTATATTTTTTGATAGTATTTAATAGCATTTTGGTTAGGGTTTAGGGTTTAGGACTCAGGTGTCAGGGTTTATGTAAAGCGACGTGCGATGGGTCCTGATCCTCAGTTGTTGTCATTCCCCGTTCCCTACTGGGCTTGGTGCCATTGTTGCTGTTACTATGGTGTATTGCTTCGGCTTTGAGGAGCATGCTTCGAACATTTGGGCAATGCCGCAGCTATGCCGATGCAACGTTGCTAAGTATCTGTTGCAAATCGGAGTTCGTGTTTCCTAAAGGGCGCCAGACTGCTGTCCATACCAGCTTTTCACTACTACTCATGATTTCCTTAGTTGCCGAGGCATGAGGCTTTTGAGCGCCCCCGAGTGGACTTAATAGTCATGTGAGCTATAGTCTAATCTGCCTAAAGGGGGGCTTTACAGGGGATGCTATAGGGGACTGTTATAAGGGTTATTAAGGGGGATACTAGGAGGTTAGACCATAACTCATATGACAGTTTTATTGTCCTCGTTTTCGGGGTTGCAGGTTACAAAGAGCCTCTTATGATTCTTCTGTTCGTAGGGGCTATATGCCTTAGCTGTGGAATTGCCATGTCTGCTTTTGTTTTTGAGGACAGAACTGGTGCACGAGTGAAGCCCCCTGCTTGAAGCCTCAGAGGACTTAGTAGTTAGGTTATGGGTTTTGTGTTGTGAGCTGAGGCTCAGGGACCTAGTAGCTCAGCAAGCAAAATGCAAACGGGGTTCTAAGTTCGGTACTTCCGCCCTGTTTAAGTGTCCTAAGCATCTAAGTATGGTCCAACCATCAAGGAAGTCCCCAGAATTAGGAGGAGCCTGGTGCATCCAGGTAGGGGGCCCGTCTTTTTTGCGCATTCTCCTACATCCTGGGCTTGTATGATTCCTGCACCAGTTAATATTCAAAGCGGTTCAGCTGAACCAGGTGTTTTTTTTGGTTGTTGTTAAGGCTCTCCAGTTAAGTTATCACAATATGAATACATGGCAGGTGGTCTGGTTTCTCCATGGTGTTAACTTAATTGGGCCTAGGGTTTAGGGTTACAATAATAAGGAAACCCTATTACTTTTCTCTATACTCATTTAGAGCAACCCGGTCTACCTGCACCCGTACAGTCCAGAACCTTGCTTCTCGCCTGTAAGGGTTCGCAAGCCTGGCAAGTGTTAGGGTTTAGGGTTTAGGGTCTGTCCTGACTCAAGTAAGGGCTTGCTAACGAGCTGACTCAAAAGTTGTGACGGCCGGACTTCATATGTTGGGTAATGTTGGGATGATATAGGGTAATATACGGGGATTAAGATGCAAACTAGTACATTATTAAAGGGGTTATATTGGGACTGTATAGGGGTACTTTGAATTGGAAGACCCCAGCCCAAGCCCTGCATGTAGCAGGACATTTTTGGAAGAGCGGCATGTGCATTTCCATAGCTCAAGAAAGCGGAAGCATTGCCTGTAGATTTTATCGTAGCTGGTCACCCAATCTGTCATATCAGAGGGTGACTCTGTAGCATCATGGAGGGCCTCCGCTTCATGGACTTCCTTGAGCTGTCCGAGTCGGCTTCAGAAATCAGCGAGGACGATTCCATCTTCGACTCTGATGTTGAGACCAGCGACGGCGAGGACTTTGCAGGCGTTCCCCTGTGGCAGACGGCTTTTAACATCGCAAAGGGCATCATTGGTGAAGGGCTATTGAGTCTTCCAGCTGGGCTTGCTGCTGGGACGGGTCTCTTCTCCGGAGTCTGCATTGCCTTGGTGTTCTATGTCGTTATGACCTACACTTTCTGGACCTTAGGGCGCATGTGCGAGGCGACAGGTGAAAAATCCCATCGCGGTCTGGGGGACAGAGTCACCTCTGGGGTCTTCTTCGGAAACTTGATGGCAGTGGCCAACTTAATTCAGACCCTCTGCTGCTGCGTCGCATATGCCTCCCGCACTGTACCAGGAGGCTTAGGGTACAGGGTTTAGTCTGAGTTGCTGTTAAGGAACTTAAATTAAGTTACTATATTGGGGAAACCCTATCATTTACCATATATACCCATTATGGTAGCTTAATTTAAGTTCCTTCACAGCAACCCAGTAATCACTAAACCTTATATAAACCCTAAAAAACCCTATAAAAAACCTATAGAATCCCTATATGACACCTATATAGTTTAGGGCACAGGGTGTAGTGTGTACACGGCTTCAGGTTTAGGCTGTGGGGTTTAGGCTTCGGGGCTTTGGGGTTTAGGATTCTGGAGGCTGCCTTGACAGGATAGTCCGAAAAGTTTAGGTTTGGGGTTGAGGGTTTGGGGTTTGGGGTTTAGGGTTTAGGGTTTGGGGTTTGGGGTTTAGGGTTTAGTGTCGATTTTTGTTTGCGGAATGTTTTAATTTGTCATCAACAGGTAAACATAACCCAAAGACTTACACGAGTTTCTGAAAAATCCCAACTCCGTTTCAGAAGCCGTTTAATTTCCGTTGCAATCCCTGCATACTTTTAGGGGCCCCCTATTTTGAGCAAATCTCTTGGAGGTCCATTGGCACCCATAGCCTACCAATACCTGTAGCTAACAGCCAATTACCCTCTATTGTGGCACTTAGGTGACCTAAAAATGTCTGAAAAGTACGTCGATGATTAGGTTCTACGAACCTACCGACATGTAAATATAAGCTTTGAACTCAACATGTGCTCTTAAGCCTTAGCCGCTACAAGGCATCCATGAAAACCCAAGGCACTGGTCATTGGGCGAAATGCGGAAGACGTCCTTGCCCCTTTGCAGGCCGGGTAAAAAACCCAAGTTGTCACGAATAATGGAACAGCGGAGAGTCATTAAATGAGCTGTAGTCGAAACTCCTTAGACTATTGAAGAGGGTTATGTAATGGATTATGTAGGGGACTAGTATAGGGGTCATACAGGGGGGGGTAACTAGATTTTATATTATGGCTCAAATTGAACAAATGGAGAACAGAATGGGAACTTGGGCTGTATAGTAGGGAGGAGCTCAAGTTTTAATTGCATCATATCCTATTTCGATGGTTTCATATAATCGTGAGTGTTGAAAACATGAATGGTTCGTAATGACATGGCTAACCTAAACCCTAAACGCGTGTAACAAGATGGCTACCTAGATTGCAGGCGGTTTGGGGATTGGTGGTGCGGGGTGAGGGCCTGGGAGACTTCATAGCCTTCAAGGTAGGGTAAGGCTTAGGGGGTAGGGTTCAGGGCTTAGAGTTAGGGTTTAGGGTTCAGGATTTAGGGGTTGGGTGTTGGGACCAAGGCGTTTGGATAGTTTAGGGTTTGAGGTTCAATTTGGGTTATAGTCTAAACTCATTAAGGGGGGGTAATATAGGGGATTATATACGGGAGTATTTTAGGGTTTAATAAGGGGGATACCAGGAGTTTAGACTATGACTCATTTGGGTTTAGAGTTTCAGGGTTTCTGTTAGGGATGTGACCTTGATCTTTGATCAGGCACTGTCGTATTGTGGAGCCACAAAAATTACCCAGATTCTGGTCTTAGATTTCTGATAAACACATTAAAAAGACTTCGAAAGGATATCTGAAATTATTTAGGCCCTGCCGTAATTCTTATACCAGCCCCTTGCTTGCCTTTCGTTCTTCACCCTGTGCCCATCATTCTCAGCAAGCCGCTGAGCCTAAATACAGCGCAAAGCCCTGCAAAATGCAACGAGTGCGCAAAACTTCAATGCTAAGCCCCAAACCTCCGCATTTCCAAGCCAACCTTAGGCAATGATCGCTTATGATACTCCAAGCCACTGAAGGTTTTGATTGTCTTAGAAGCATAGACCGCGCCATCAGCCAACAGACTCCGAGACCTCAAGACTTCAATGCCCCAATTCGTGACAAACCCTTTCTCCTCAAGCCCAGCTCCCAAATCCTTGACCTTAAGCCCATAACCTTAAACCCTAAACACCTAGACCCCTTAACCCGAAACCCTAAACCCTTAACCCTAAACCCGAAACCCTTAACCCTAAACCCCAAATCCTTAACCCTGAACCCTTAGCCCTAAACCAAGAACCCTTGTGATGAAGGCAAACACCTGGATAAGCTCACGCCGCGGCAGTTGGGTGACGATCCTCATCTTCATCTTGCTCCCTGACCCACGCCGTTCAGGGTTTATGGCTCAAGTTTTAGGATTGAGGGTATATTGTTGTATGTGAG